AATACGTATCGCGTTGCTATTCCTGTACTCGCCATCGGTGCCGTCCAAATACGATTCGGTGCCAATTATTCGATCGTACTCGTTTCGTTTCTTGAATCTCGAATTTTGAAATTCCTAGATTCGTCTCGACGTTTCGACTAGAAAAGATCGAACGAAATCGTTTCCGCGCGCGCGCGCGCGCGTCGATAGAATTTAATCGTCGTAATTAAACGGTCGAAAGAATCGAAGCTGGATCGAGGGATCGAACGGAGATCGAGTCGTATTCGGGTTCCTGGAAGGACTCGATCTGCCGGAGGGTTTTACGACCTTGTTTACGTCCGGTGTTCCCAGGCACCGTAGCCACCGACGCGGCGCGACGCGACGTTAAGAAACGCGAAACGACACAGCAACGGTATCGCGGGACTTCGGGAGCTCTCGATTTCTGGATCTCTCTCTCCCGTTCTCGTTCTTGCTCTCTCGCAGCCTGTCTCCCCGCGAGACAGGATAAAACGATGCCGCTCTCACGGGCGTTATATTATTTTCTTGGAATCGGGCGCGCGAAGAATGAAAAATCGAAGCGGACGCGGACGGACCGTAGGACGAACGTGGACGTAACGATGGTCGAACACGGAACGTTATTTACACGGTATCTCCGATTCGAAGGCGAGAGAGGGAGATTTAATTTTGCAATTTCTCGGAACGACCGACTGCTATGCGGAGTCGCTCCATAATTTGTTCCAGCGGCTCTCAACCTCGCGGACGTCGCGCGCTCTTCCAGCGATCGCTGAATTTTCCGATACGATCGTTCGAAAACGATTTCATCGTCGCAGGCATGCGCGCGCGCCGCCTCCGATTTTCCGAGACTCCGAGACCGATCGAGATTCGGATCGGGCGAGCCGGTACGTCCGGCCCGCTTGGCCCAGTGACATTCTCCGGCTTTTGTCACGTATCTCGCACGACCCATTGCCCTCGACCGACAACGACCGCCGCTCTCGTTCTCGTTTCCTAGTTTATTATTCCTCGCGTCGACTCGACGCGACGCCGCGACGCGCGATACGATTCGGGTTGCACCAACGCGGTATTATCGCGTTGCAATTAAATGTGGTAACCGTTGCAGAAAAAGCGAAAGGTTGTGGTAATACGCGGCGGTACGCGAAACGATCGATTCGTCGTTGAATATCGATAGGCGAAAATTATCGTTTAAGAACTCGCGATCGCGATCAACGAAGCGCGAAGAATGTTAATACGCGTATGAAAGCGATTAGGCGGATCGTTTCGCTTTGCGCGCGTTCGGAAAATTTCTCCGTTACACAGCAACGTTGTCGAAAGCCTGTTCGTAGAGCGGAAAGTTTGTTTTCTGGAGTGCACGGATCATCGTCGATCGAGTAAATATCGTTGCTCGGTAAATATCGTTGCTCGGGAGAAGAAGTAAATTGGTCGCGCTTTCGCGAATCGATTCCTAAAATAAATATTAATCGTTCCATCGATGGTTCCTCGCGTAGAATCGCGTAGAATCGCGTAGAATCGCTTAGAATAGTTTCTTGATCGGTAAGCGCCAACGAAGGTTATATAAACGAGGGATCGCGGCGTTTCAGTTTCAGCGCGTCGCGGAACGAGCCCCCGATCGGAAATGGAGTCCTGGCTGAGCGACGTGCAACGCGTGAGGATCCCACGGCCGAAATTCGGCACCGGGAACTCCGTCAGACGATCGAACTCGACGGTGCAGTACGTTCGATCGGAGATCCACCTGCGGCAGAGCCAGGACGTGGTCAAAGCCACGGAGGAGCTTCGCCAGGCGCTCCAGGACAAACTCTGACCGGCCGATCGACGCGTCGGCACGTCGGCACGTCGGCACGTCGGCGTTACAGGTGACACCCCGTGATTCGTCGCATCTCGAGGATCGTCCTGTCGGGGACCGCGCCGCATCGATTCGCACCGGATCGCGTCGAGCCGGCGGAACGACCGTTCCGCGACGCTCGTTAACCCCGGTTTTCTTCCGGAACGGGTCTATCGCGAGCCTCGGCGAAACCTTGCTCGCCAACGACGACGCCGCCGCCGCCGCCGCCGCCGCCGCCGCGTTTCTCGACCGTTGTCAAAATGAAAAACGCGAACGATACGGCGAGAAAGGTGGCGAAAGCGTTGGGAAGGCAACGAGTGGTCTACCGTGAACGGTGGTGGGGACGCTGCTGGACCACCGATCGGATCCGTCTACCTCTGGCCAGGAGGGAAACTCGCCGTCTTTCCGCGATACGCGTATCGTTCGCAATTTTTCGCCGTTTCTCGTTAGATCCGTCGAATCCGCTGCTGGAATCGCCCGATCTCGTTGGATCGACGATGCCCGGGGCAAGGTGGAACGTTTTAGCGAACATCGATACTTTTCGGGTGTCTTCCCTCGAAAAACGGACCACGCGATCGTGTCGCGGTCGTCGGGAGATCGACCACACCCCGTGTATCCATCGATTCTTCTCGTTCTTGTTCGAAGTACGAGGACTTCGAGAAGCCTATCCCCATCGGATAACTTGGCGAATAGGGTTTCCTCGAGCGATAAACTTTGCGCAGCGAGTTTTTTAAATCGTGTACGATAAAATTCTGATTGGCCGAGATTAAAATAGAAAAACGAAACGATCGTGATTCCGAACAAAAAGAAATTGTACCGTGACGCACGCGGAAAACTTGCTCGTCGCACACGTTTGTACAGATTATTGCTACGTCTACCTACGCGTTACGAATGTTGTCGCTAAAGATTAATTGTAATTGTAATTGTAATTGTAACTGTAATTGTAATTGTAATTAAAGATTATATTCGTGCGCAAATACGCTATTATACGATAGAATTATTGTAAACGATAATTGTACCGACCTTGGAAATAAGATAAGCAATATCGAAGAAACGTTGTAAGAACATGCCCTACCGTTTATTACAGGTGCGGTAAAAGGTAAAAGGTAAAAGGTAAAAGGTAAAAGTGTGAAAAGCGCGGATTTATTGGAAGGTGGATCGACGAGGCGATGGAACGCGTTCAAATTAGCTGTTGGCACGATCGTTACCTCGCCCCGTCGATCGCGCGAGATCCCGAAGCGTTCGCGCGTCCGTTGTTCGCAGAAAATGGAAAAACGAGAATAAAAAGAGTCCACAACCCCCGTTCCTATCCACGAGAATTCGATGTCTGCGATCGTTTCATTGGCCGAGCAACTCTACGTACCTACGCATCGTCTCGTCCATCGACGACGGCGTTACGATTGCGAAGAGATCGACGAAGAAGCAACCGACCGTCCAGGGACGGAGAATGCGACAAGTAAAATTGTAAAAGNGCTGGAATCGCCCGATCTCGTTGGATCGACGATGCCCGGGGCAAGGTGGAACGTTTTAGCGAACATCGATACTTTTCGGGTGTCTTCCCTCGAAAAACGGACCACGCGATCGTGTCGCGGTCGTCGGGAGATCGACCACACCCCGTGTATCCATCGATTCTTCTCGTTCTTGTTCGAAGTACGAGGACTTCGAGAAGCCTATCCCCATCGGATAACTTGGCGAATAGGGTTTCCTCGAGCGATAAACTTTGCGCAGCGAGTTTTTTAAATCGTGTACGATAAAATTCTGATTGGCCGAGATTAAAATAGAAAAACGAAACGATCGTGATTCCGAACAAAAAGAAATTGTACCGTGACGCACGCGGAAAACTTGCTCGTCGCACACGTTTGTACAGATTATTGCTACGTCTACCTACGCGTTACGAATGTTGTCGCTAAAGATTAATTGTAATTGTAATTGTAATTGTAACTGTAATTGTAATTGTAATTAAAGATTATATTCGTGCGCAAATACGCTATTATACGATAGAATTATTGTAAACGATAATTGTACCGACCTTGGAAATAAGATAAGCAATATCGAAGAAACGTTGTAAGAACATGCCCTACCGTTTATTACAGGTGCGGTAAAAGGTAAAAGGTAAAAGGTAAAAGGTAAAAGTGTGAAAAGCGCGGATTTATTGGAAGGTGGATCGACGAGGCGATGGAACGCGTTCAAATTAGCTGTTGGCACGATCGTTACCTCGCCCCGTCGATCGCGCGAGATCCCGAAGCGTTCGCGCGTCCGTTGTTCGCAGAAAATGGAAAAACGAGAATAAAAAGAGTCCACAACCCCCGTTCCTATCCACGAGAATTCGATGTCTGCGATCGTTTCATTGGCCGAGCAACTCTACGTACCTACGCATCGTCTCGTCCATCGACGACGGCGTTACGATTGCGAAGAGATCGACGAAGAAGCAACCGACCGTCCAGGGACGGAGAATGCGACAAGTAAAATTGTAAAAGACTAATTAAGCGCGTCAACTTGCGCAACGATCGCGGCGCGTTTCTCGATAGACCGAACACCGACTGCTGGGTTTCGGTACGTTTCGTCGAAACAGGTTAAATGAAATTGCACCGATTTCTACGCGTATTCGCGAGCGATACGAGGCGCCGGAGTTGCAACAAAAAGAGAAAGCGAGCCCCCTCCCCCCTTCGGTTCTACGTCGTTGGGACAGGGAAGTTACCTTTTAATTATACGATGTATCGTTTGATCGTTGCATCGTCGGAGCGTCGTGGAATCGTCCGCGCGACGTAACGTTCGCGGAACGATTCCATTTCTCGGTCGGTTGCCCAGCTGTGCGCGACGAATCGAAAAGTTCGGATCCGCGCGTAGACGATATCGGAGAAAAATGCGATCGCGGAGACGCGCGTCGCGCGAAAAAACGATCGAATTTGCCGCAACCTCCCGCGCGACCCTACCACGGATAGATTCCGACACCGTCGCGCGCGCGAATCGAGGGTGCCCCTCCGATCGATATTCGACGGAGAACCCGGGCTCTATCTCTCTCTCGTTATCGCGGACGAAACGGCCCGTTTTGTAAAAGGTTGGTGGCGCCGCGCGCGCGCGCGCGATGCTTCGGACGGCGCGTCGCGAGAGAAACGGGCAATTATCTCGACGGAGTGTCCCCGGGAGTCGGCGAAAGGTAGAAAACGGCGAGCCTCGGACTTACCAGATTGTCCGGGTGTAGCCGATGGTGGCCGTAATCCCTGGGGTTGCCGCGGGAACCGCTGGGAGAGCTGTGCCTGCGCCCGCGGCCGTTCTCCAGCTCGTCTTCGTAATCCTGCAAAAGAAATCGATAAAGATCCCTTTTACAGGGTTCCAGCGTTGTTTCCGTCGGCAACCGGTTGCTCTCTTTTCGTGTCCCTCCGCCCCTCTGTCCCCCTGTCCGATCGTTCCCTCGTTCCCTCGCTCCCTCGCTCCCTCGCTCCCTCGCTCGCCCGCTCCCTCGCTCCCTCCCTCCTGCCCCCTGACCGTCGTTCCGTTTCTCACGGTGGACGGAAGGGTGCGGAAGCGCGCGAGACCGCCTGAAAACCGGCGAAACCTCGCTGCCTTATCGGCTACGATCTCTCGAGCTCTCGATTTCTCCGTGTACCTGGTTGTCGCACTCCTCGTCGTTGGAGAGGGCGAGGTCGGAGGTCGTCGCTTGGTGCTGCTGCTGGGCCCTCCTGCAGCCCGCTCTGGAATTGCCAAAATTGCGATTTGAGACCACCCACCGCCCACCGCCCACCGCCCACCGCCCACCACCCG